AATATAAGTTTTTAACCATTTTTACGATGAATTTCAGTTAATTATTAGGTTTATTTAACTCATACACGAAATTAGTGTACATGCTTAAAACAGAAATGCTTTCTTCGGAAATTCGTATCTCCATAATCAGAGTTAATTTTCGTGTTGTTCATGTCTTTATATAATTTACTGTTACTTTGTTCATATATTGATAAAAATTTTTTACGAGAATCTCTTTGCCTGTCTTCTCGGTAAAGTCGATTTCAAATTTTATGAGATGGAAGAACGCCCGTGACCCTTTGTTAAATATTCATAATGGGATGTTTTTGTTTAATTAAAAATGATTCTGCAGTTTGTAGTCCTTGCTTGTTATTTTTATAATGTAGAACTTCAACATTGCTATCAAGGGTGCCACTACTGGGTTTGTATTGTGTTTGTCTTTCAGGTGGTTTTCAATCTGGCACAATCATCACCGTAATTTTTATCTTAGCCATCGCCATCATCATCATCTTTACCATCACCACCACCATCATCTTCACCATCATCATCTTCATCATCATCATTATAATCAGAGGTGCAGGTGCAACATTTAGACTTTGAAGTAAAAAAAAACACTTTGAACGTAATTTTCTAAACAACGTAGTAGTTCAAACAAGATGGTGGTGGCGGTGGTGGCGTGAAAAATGATGATAATGACGAAAATAATGATGACGATGATGACAGTGATGATGTCATTAAAGAGAGAGAGACTGCGATGACGATGATAACGAGTCATAATGATAACAACGAAGATGACGATGACAACATCAAGATGATAATGTAGATCGCACGGTTGGTGCTGACGATTAGCGAATTACTAAAAATAGATCAGTGATGATTACGAAGTTGATGACTAATTTTTGTCGTGACAATAAGAAATACGATTAGGATGGCAGACTTGACAAAACTTATGCCAATGACGTCTTAGCTACAATGATGATGACGTGATGAAGAGGAGGATGATGAGGATAAACCTGACAATTTTTCATTACACACATTTTCACTACACAAATGCAAACACACACGCACATCACACACACACACACACACACACACAATGATAGAGATAATGAAGTTAGTGATGGTGATGATGATGACGATGTAGTACACAGAGTGGGTGATAATGGAAAAAAAATCAACCCATAAAAACTAGGCTTATTCGCTAATGACATCATACCCAATCGCAATTCTCCATTCAGCTGACGTCATAACCAATTACATTCATCCTTTCATGTTACGTCATCTCCCTGCATTAAAACATCCGTCTGATACTGGGACGTAAATAATACTTTTTCTTTTTGCAGCGATTTTTATTTTGCAATTTTTTTTATATACGGAATGTTTTGTTGAATTTTGAATTCCTGAAAACTGAAAAAACGAGTGATTTATTTTTCGTAGGTTAAATACCGAAACTCAAAAAACGATTAAACAAAATTAGTTAGTCAAATTAAGTTATAAATAAATTAAATTAAGTTAATCAATGATAAAACATTTATTTAGTATTTGTTTATTTATTAATTTTATTTATTTGTATATTAATTTAATGAAAAATTTAAATTGAATAAAATAAAAAAATCAAACTTGTGAAAAAAATTCATGCAGGTTTGATTTTAACAAAAAAACAGGCAGCTTCCTAAATCATTTTTCACTTTTTAGCGCTAACTAAAAATTATTTGATTCCCGCCATAATTTTGATTTTTTCGAAGTAGGGATGGGTGATTTATATTGTAAAAAATCGATAATAAATTCAAAAAAACTTTTACGTGAATTATAGCACATGCGTGTGTCGTTGTTTTTGTCTGGTAACCATGCTACTTATACCATTGCAAAAATATTATTCATTTTTAATCATTTTCACCGGTCATCATCATCTTCTTCATCATCGTCAGCATCACCATCATCATGATTTAATCGTCGTAACCATCGTTGTCGTCATCATTGCCTAATATCATCACAATCATCATCGTCCTCATCGCAATCATTATCATCATCACAATCATCCCCATCATACTTACCACAAAACCGCCCACAGATCTGCTCGACTACTGCCTCTACGAGACCTTCGTAGCCACCTGTCCGAGGGATCACGTGATCGTTATGACGTCAGCGAAGTACGGACGAATCAGAAGCGGCCGTTGTGCCATTGGTAGTGACGATCTCGGGTGTTTCGTGGACGTGATGAGCGAGATGGGGTGGTGGTGTGGTGGCAAGAGTGGGTGCAGTGTGCAGGTGAGGAACCTTCTGGATCTGCATCCCTGTGGAAAGGATTATGTTTCCTACCTGCAGGCTAGCTACGTCTGCATTCCTGGTCAGTTATCGTTCGTTGGCGGTGAAGATGACCACGATGATGAAGATGATGGTGGTAGTGGTGGTGACGATGATGAGGATGATTGTGATGGTTGTGATGATGATGATGATAGTGGTGATGTTAATGGTGATGGTGATATTGATATTTGTTTCAATTTCAAATACTGTCAAACAATTATTGAATGCACTTTCTTATTATCTCGGTTATCAACCGTTTAACCCATTAACACTTAAATGCTGCTAAATTATCACCACCATCCATCCATACAATCGTCATAATTATCACTTTCATTATCATCCTCATTAAAAAATTTTCATCATCAATATCATCATTATCTTCGCTGACACAGCCATCAGTTACTTTCATTCATAATCACCATTGGTATCATTATATTAATAACTGTTAAAAAAAAGGTATTTGTAGTAGCATTATCTTTATAAACATCATCATCATCATCATTATCATCATCATCATCGTCATCGTCATCATCATCACCATAATCTCAACTATCATCATCATCGTCATCGTCATCATCGTCATCATCATCATCACCAACAACATCATCATCATCATTATAATCTTAACTATCATCATCATCGTCATCGTCGTCAGGACGTTCAATTGAATTTCGTGCCTTACATATGAGCGCGAAAGATTTGACGATACGTGAAGACAATGTTTGGTTTGATGTCTGTCTTTATATTTGTGTTTATGCATGTATATCTAATTTATATTTGTATTCATGCCTGTGTTTATTTCCATTGTTTATATGCGTGCGTTATAAATGCATTTACTGTCCTGGTTTATGTATGTGTGTTTTGTTTGCAATGTCTTGTCTGTTGTTGTTGTTTTCGCGGTTGTTGTTTGCGCGGTTGTTGTTGTTTGCGCGCGTTGTTTTTTACGTAGTGGCTATAATTTAGTTGTTTTGCCCGTGGTTATGTTTTGTTTAAATAATTTGAATGAATTTGTTGGTGAAATGTGTGCTATAGTGTTAATTACGTTGTTAATTTTTGGAAAATATGTTTTTGAATTCCGTTGGGATACGGTCATGATCATTATATTTCGAAAATTTTTTGAAAGTTTTTATGAATTGAGAAAGAATTAAATTTTTTTGCTAAATGGACATAGAAAAAATTAGTAAGAAAAAAATGTTAACGAACAAGAAGGTTGTTAAAAAAAGTATGCGCCATGAACTGTAAAAAGCATTTTGCAATTACACCAAGTGCACCAAGTGTTATTGTAAAAAATAATATACCAAAATAATTCCAAACTTGAAAAATAATTGAATTTTTTGTATTTTCTTCCATGTCCTAATGACGTCAGACTTGACCGCACACAACTCGCCAACAATTGATACTCCAAACTCCACACAACATTCCTTATCATATAATTAGTTGTTCTCGTGAAATTTTTCGTAGAACAAAACAATTTTGAATTTGAAGTGTGTCCATTGTTAGACGGGGGGTCCCACAAATTTTCTATTATTTCAATTTTCATAATTTCTTCTTTATAATTATTAAATTTGTACGTAATTGTAATATATATCATTATGAATTCCGAAAAAATTAAAAGATCTTCAACGGAATATTTAATCAACTTACGCGTTTAGTTATTTTTTAGATATACTAAATTTTGCAATAAGCCAGATAAGAAATTAAAAGCTAGGCGTTGACTAGCTAATTGGGTGTTTATTTAATGTAGTACACCAGGAAGGAAGCCAGCGATATAATATATAAGCGTGCTTATTATTTCAACATTCGAAGCCTGAAAGAAGTTAGTTATTGTATTCCATGGTCATTCGTCAGCAGGAGTATCACTATTTGTGAAAATTATTTTTTATCAGTTGGTGACCACTGCACGGCGCTAAATATGCTCCATTCTATAAATTTGTATGTGTGTGTGTGTATGTGTGTGTAGTGTATGTATGTATGTATGTATGTATGTATGTATGTATGTATGTATGCGTGTGTGTGTGTGAATGAAAAAATATGAAAAGTAGATGAGATGTGTGTGCGTTTGCACGCATGTGCATGGTTTTATGTTCATTTAATTACATTTACTGCGTCTACATACATATATACAATTTAATTTTATTGCAGAAATCATGGTTGAAGTTTTTTTTCCACGAAAATTATCCTTCAAGCATTTTATAATCCCATCTATGACATCCAACTTCATCGTTTGAACGTGGCCGACAATCACGCGGAAGTACTGCTTTTGTTTCTGTTTTGTTAACGATGGCTTATTTAAAAAAAATTAGCGATAGAACGAATGAAGCGGAGCCATTTAAAAGAAAGAAGCATGGAGCAACGAAAAATGAAATAACTCGATACCTTTCGTGAATGAAAGAGGAACGCAAAGCAACGTGCCACTTGGTGGTGGTGGTGGCTGGTGGTGGCTGGTGGTGGCTGGTGGTGGCTGGGGGTGTGAGTGGCGACGAACAAAAGATGGATTAGGCGCTTAATGCATTTTACAATAAATAAACAATAGTCCAACACATCAATCAATATGTTGCTCGTTTCTACAACTGAACAGTATGAGGTGCATTAGACAACGAACAGACATTGAAAATAAATACGCTGTAAAAACGCAAAGTATGAACGTCACTGTAATGCAATGAATATAAATAGAATGAGATATTCAGAGTAAGCCAACATCGAGCAAACATTAACACGGCGAATAAATGGAATGTTAAGGAACAGTTACAACTTTTCTGAATGATTCACAGGGCATTCGTCAATTAGGTGAAAATTACGAAAATTAATATTACGACGACAAATGCAACAAAATCAAATAATTAATAAATAATATTAAAACACATCAAACAAAATTAACTCACTAATGCTCTTGAAAAAATTTTCTACAAAAAAACTACATATTTGATATAAAACATTTAAAAAATAAAATAAATTTTAAAAAACTCCGATTCGGATTCAAAACACTTTTCACATTATTTCACATACATCGAGAAAGTAACCACAAATATTGAAACGTAAACAAGCAATGGAAATACATGATAGAAACTAATGAGGCGATCGTATAACTTTCAAAAAGAGTGATAATGGTAAACATTTTAATAAAGAATATTAGGCGAACTGCAATGATGTACATGGAGAAGAAAATTTAATAAGAACGCCTAATAAAGAATGATGAATGAATGCTTTCTACGCATGGACACAACTGGTCGAGGAGAGTGAGATACATTCACCCCATCTCTTCATAAACAACATTAATGGAAATAATTATGACACATAAACAGCCAAGAATAATAAATTTAGTCAATGCAAACGAACGTGAATAAACTTTTAATAAAAAACAAGTTTCAATAAACAACATTAGACTTGCAAACGTTAACAACTTAATAGACAGCGGCCAGACGGACATGTTAATAAAATCAAAAGACTTACAACAACACAAAACATTAACAACAACAACATAAACAACAACAAACAACAACACACTACACAACAACACAAAACTGTACCGCGTGGGCTACGCTCATTTAAACAATAACTACCACATTTCATAAACAACGATAATATGCCACTAAAAAACCTATCCGAAAAGCTCACAAATTTATTGCTTAATTAGCGCAACGTAATATTTACGTGTGATCATCATCATAATCATCATCAAGCCGTCATCATTATCATCATCCAACCATCATCATCATCTTCATTGCCATTACGATTTTTAAATTAGTATCATAATTATCATCAATGTGATCATCAATCGTTTTCGTCATGCCGTCATGATATCATATTCACCATTTTACTAATTCTAGTCATCTCGATCAAAATTACAACAACCTAACTCGTCGTAATTCAACTCATTCTCATTTGAGTTCAATTTTTGCGGTGGTTGCACCAACATTTTTTCATCATCATTTTCTTCAACGTTTAATTGGTTGCTGTTTTTATTTTATGAGCGTCATCGGTTTATCATTATGCTACCATTGCTGGTATCACCATTGCTGGTATCACCATTGCTGGTATCACCATTGCTGGTATCACCATTGCTGGTATCACCATTGCTGGTATCACCATTGCTGGTATCACCATTTCTGGTATCACCATTGCTGGTATCACCATTGCTACCTGCTTGCCGTATGCATCTTCACTACCCCGTAACATCATCAGCAAACTTCAAATGTCTACAAGTTTTAAATGTCTACAAATTAGGTGAAATAAAATGATTGTGATATAAATTTGTTCTTTGGTACTTTTTAATTGTTGATATGTTGAAATATTTCAATGAAAAATAATTAATTTATTTTCACATTTACAAATGTTTTTTTCAATATAAAGTTTCCTTGATGCATGTGAATATTTTTTAATCTTTTAATATGCTCTGCATTTGCAAGACAGTCTGACATTTTAGATTAACGTTTAGATTGATGCTTAGATTATGTCAATACTAACTCCACTCACTTATGCAAATCAGTCACGTGTACGGGCACACACAAACATACATTCAAACAAATATACAAACAAATATACAAACAAGTAAACAAACATACAAACAAAAAAAACAAACGCAAACCAACAATTATTCAAAAACAAAAAACTATACAAAATACCACATCATCATGTGGATAAAGAATGTATATGTATTCTACAAACAACGTTCAGCATTCGTGATACCCCATGTTCCTCCGTATTATTAACATACTGTCAATAGAAGAGAAGACGGTAAATACAAATGTTTGTATATCATTTGTATAATTATACAAACGCGCAAACAGAATTTATTTCAATGCAATTAGTTTTGTTTGAGAAGACGTGGTCTTCAAACATTGGCCTTGCATTGCATCTCTTACTACAGATTAATATCATCTCGTTTGTCCAATTGTAAATATTAACGTTGTTACACCGTATCAAATATCAGATATACAGATAAAACAGACATTTTGGTTGTTATCAATTTTTTTATGATATCATTAAAATTAATTATCATTTACAAACTGATGGAACGTGAAGTTATTTCGCTGATGCTATATAACCAACTTCGAATTGTGTTTTCTTTTGTCGTTTCAATTTATGAGCATGTCTGTCAAATAATTCTCTCTATAAAATAATAACGAATAATGCGTTTATAGAAAAGAATAATGTAAATTTACTTTGTGAAATAATATGAAAAAATTGCCGTTAGAAAAATTTGTAAAATTCTAAAAAACAGTGAACGTTGAGTGAAAAAAAAAACATGCATCTTGTTTCAGTCTGTTGTTGCGCTCCCAATGCATGTTCACATCCACAAACACGCCAACAACACAGCACAATGGCATTTAGAACTTTAAAGACATTCCCGTACTATAATGGTAGGTGCAAACAACTACAAAATACGGAGACGGACACACAGAAACGCACACGGAATCAAACATACGCACGCAAACAAACAGTGCAAGGAAGAACTATATTTTATGAACCCACGCTCGTGGATTACGCACGACTATGAAGAAATAAACAAGGAAGATATGCCTTGATTGTGTGTGTGTGTGTGTATTTGTTTGTGCGCATGTACTTTTGTGTGTGTTTGTGTGGCTGATTGTCTGAGTGTTAATGCGTGCGTGTTCATGATTAAATGATGTGATTGTATTTTGTGACAGTAAGTATGAGTTTGTACGTTCGCATTTATGTGTGATAGTATGTCCACGTGTGTTTGTGTCGGCGTTCTTTAGAATTTGCATGCTTCATTCACTACGCTCAGTTTTCTAAATACATCAGCTCTTAATTATTTCTTTTAATATTCACGCAAAGTCTGCCTCAATCAACGCTTGAAAAGCACGAAACAATTAAATAGATGGATGGATATGCATACATTCAGACCGCCAGACAGACACAAAGCTTGAGACATTGAGGTAAAAAGACAAGCTGAAGGATTGACACAACGGTGACAAGACTGACTGATTGATTGGTGAGGAAGGTAATAATTTTAGACAACCACAGGCATGCAAGTATGAATCATGCGAAAACGGATGAACTCAACAAAAAAAACGTTCGAAAGTTGATTATCTCTGAATATTGTATGAAAAAATATTAAAAATTAAACACATATAAACATACAAACTCGAAGAATAGAAGACAGACAATGATGAGTAAACTTAAAAAATATACATTTGTCCAAGATCAATGCAAAAAATATCACTTATATCACATACACAATTAAAAATACCACCATACAAACATGACTCATAAAACATACAAACATGACTCATAAAACATACAATCATGATACATACACTATACAAACATGATAGATACAAACGACATACAAACATCACTCATACAACATACATAACGCATACAACATACAAACATGACAGATACAACATACAAACATGACAGATACAACATACAAACACGACAAGCAATTTACAGGCACGATACATACAACATACAAACACGACTCATACAACGTATAAACATGATGCCTACAACACACAAACATAATACACATAGCATACAAACATAACAGATGCAACATACAAACATGACAGATACAACATACAAAAATGATACATAAGACATACAAACATGACAAATACAACATACAAACATGACGTAAACAGTGTATATAAACCATCCAACATAAATTTACTTTTAAATGAACAACCACCCACGAGAACATTCAACAATGGAAATGAACTTGTAAAGACAGTCGCTACAACATGAATACAAGCGCAAATAACTCGAATGCGCTCATATATGTATATATATATATATATATTTTTATTTGTGAGTGTGTTTGTGTGTGTGTGTGCGCACGCGGGTATGTGTAAAACATGCAAAAACCAAACCTATGGCCACCAGAACCATAGATAATATGAGACTTGAATATCAATACAAGAAATAATGTTGTGAGACACGCAAGCAAAACTCATATATAAAAGCAAACATCATGCATACAATCTTACACAAATATACAAAAATACCACAACATACAAACACATACAAACATACAAACTCACTCTGCCTCTTTCTCAACGATTTGATTTATGTAACCGGTTGCCACGTTAATTCTTGATATGCCCTATCGTTTTCATACAATACACACGTATATGAAATCAAAACTATACTATGTATATATTAGATACACATACATTTTGCATATATGGATACATATATATATATATATATATATATATATATATATATATATATATATATATATATATTTATGCATATGTATGTTTATATATATATATATATATATATATTTATGCATATGTATGTTTATATATATATATATATATATATATATATATATATAAATATATATATATATATATGAGAGAAGAATTGATCAAGTTATATATCATTGCCGTCCTCTCGTTATTAGGATACTATTATTATTGTTGTTATTGTTGTTGCCTTTATGAATGTTGATATTGCTAATGGTATTATTATTCTCTATGTCGTTGCGATTATCTTTATTTTGTTCTCGGCTTTTATGTTTGTTATTTTGGTTTTTTATCTGCGTTAATATTAGTTGGTTTTTAGAAAGGCTGGCGATCTGTTTTTTTTTTGTTCTCACTTGTTTTATGTAATTTTTACAGTGTTTTCCATTGAAAGTAGTGTTTATGATATGCATTGTTGGTGTAAATCCAAAAATTATATATCGTGGAAGCCCCTTTCATATGAAGGGACCCCCTGCGGCTTGCCCTCCTTCTTTGCACTTGACTATTTTTAATATATTTATTTGTTTTGTAATTTTTTTCTAAAATATTTTTGTAACGTTGATGATGATGATGATAACAATAATGATGACGATGATGTTGATGACGATGACGAGGATGATGATGATGATGATGATGATGATGATGATGATGATGATGATGATGATGATGATAATTCTAAAAATGATGAAACAATTATGATGAAGGTGATGTCTCTTATAACGATAAGGATGATGAGGATAGAGAGGATGATGATGTGGATGGTGATGAAGATGGTGAGGATGATGTTGGATGGTTGGCTGCGGAGAAATGTAATTAAAATTTAAACTGATCTGTTTGTATTTTAGGTGCGGGTGTTTGAGTTTGTAGGTACAAATATGATATAAGTCTATTTGCACGTGTAGGTAGCATATGATATGATTGTTGTACATGCGTGTTTATTATCGTGTTTGTATGTTTATGTACCTTGTGTGTGTGTATGTTTGTATATGTATACAACATACATAATCATGTGTATGTGTATATACTGTATGTTATGTATATTTCCCTATATTATGTTTAGATATATATCCGTCGACACTGTCAACTTGACCGTTTAAAAAAACAATTTTGATGATTTTTATTGATTTATGAAAGTATTTCAATTATTTTTCAAACTATGAATTTGTTGCAATGCCACCTTTCATTTTTAGACGAGATTTTCAAAATTTTAACCTCACGTACACTTCATTTCTCTTTTATTGGCAATATAATATTATGAAATTTTATTAAAACTCAGAGAACTCGTTATGAGAAAACAATTATTAAAAATTAATGCCCTGAATTCAAATAGTTTTTTTACAAAAATTGAGATTTTTTGAAAATTTTGACGTTTTCAAATTTTTGCAAATCAAAAGCTACCTAGAAATGATAAGATGGTTTTACTTTAGATAACTTTCTTAGTCTTGATTAAAATACAAAATTTAATTTAGAGGCATTTTAGATTTTTGAAGCTATAAGTTTTTAAAAAGTCAAAAAACCGGAGCACTCTATTACTTTGGAGACACGTTTAATCACGAAGGACAAAATATTTCATTTTTGTTTTTTATAGAGTCTGTGATCTTTCTAGGGATGCACCGGATTCAGGTTTTTCAAATCCGGCCGGGGCCGGACTTAGCCGGATTTGAAATTCAAAAACCGGCCGGGGCCGGAGCTGAGGCCGGATTTTAGTTACCATTTTACATACGTTAGAAAAAATACTCACATTTACGGTTATCTACATGTTGAACATCAAAAAATAACACCAAACAAATAGTTATTTAATTCAAATATATGAATAAGTTGTGTGATACGCCAAATTCTGTACACAAAGATCAGCTTATAATTTATACATATTTGCATAACCCATGTTAAAGCACAAAGAAAATTGTCCAGCTCACCGCACAATTAGTGATGTTGTAATTATGTGTCATGTATACCTAGCCTAACCTTTAACATACCATGTTCTTAAATTATGTGCTTATGTATCTCTCTCTCTCTCTCTCTCTCTAAATATATATATATATATATTCATAGGAATATGGTTATGGCTTCCAAACGTTTGCACATTTCTGAAATCTTATGGTTTTTTTCCAATAACATTGATAATTTCGATAAAGATAGCTTTAAAGTTTCTGCTGCTGAATTCTATAATAATGAGAAATTAGTTTCTGCAAAAAAGTTTTTGTTGACTGAACTTGAATTGCTAAAAAAGGATAATAAAGATAAAGCTAACTTGAAATTACGAGGAAACTCGAAATTGAACAAAGTAAATGATATTGTTGTTAGTGATATTATTGAAATATTTCAAATGGCTTCAACAAACGATTTATTGCAACAATTGCCGACTTTTGTGATACTAAATCCAAAAAAAATACCTCAAAATGTGTCTAATGAATTATTAGAAATAATAATTAATAATAATAAAATAATGTCCGAAAAAATAAACGAGCTAATTAATATTAATAAGCTATTGTTGTCGCGCGTTGAAGGTAAACATGTAATAGCACCAGCTGATTCAATTGTAGCAGGTCCTAACAATAAAGCAAATATAATTCCAAGTGAGTGTACACTTAATCAAAACACTCTCGATTTAAACCAACATGACTCTAATTTAAATAAAGTGAAGCTTACACATAGAATGGATGGTATGAATCAACATCAACAAACATACAACAAACAATTTAATCTATATAATCAACATTTTCCACCAGTAAACTTTGATAATCCTAATCTCCCATGGGGTGATAAATCGAGTGAGTTAGATGACAGTGGATTTACAGTTGTGCAGCGTCAAGTGAAGCATCCGCGAACACCAACTGAAGTTTCGAAACTGCCTACTTTGCCCAAAGTTATTAAGGGCAAATGTTCTAAAGATAATGAACATATCCAAGCCAATAAAAAGCTCATAAAAAAAGCGGTTTACCACGTTGGAAACTTGAAAAAGTGTAGCAAACAGCGTATAATTGATTTTTTGCTCAAGCACAACGTCAACACTCTGGGCTGCTTTCCGTTATTTAAAAAGTCAGCTGATGTCCTAAACCCACCGAAACCCACAGAAGATTCTGAATCTACTTCATTCAAAATAATTATAAACGTTGATGTCGAGGAGAAATTTTGTGATCCTGAAATCTGGCCGGAAGGCACGTTAATTAGTAGATGGGTGTTTTCGGATCGCCCTCAACAAAACAGTTTGCGCTCGACTGTTGAAAACAGGACAGTTATCGGCGACATTAGTACACTTCCAAGCAAACTCAATGAAAGTGATGATTCTGTTGATAATGTGATCAATACAAATAAACCGAACAATGGATAGCAGAGTCTCCCCATCATCAATGTCCTCATCATCTGATCAACAAACGGTTAGGATATGTGGAAACTTGAATAACGATGAGCAATCATGTAAAGATGAAAAAATGTTACCGAATATTCTTAATTCTTGTGATCCTGATTTTAATTATTCAAACTTTTTCTCAATTAAAAGTAAATATTATTCTACTGAAGAGTTAACCTCAATGAATACAAATGATTTTTCTCTTTTACATTTAAATGTTAGAAGTTTGTCTAACAAAGTTGATGATATTGAAATGATGATTAAGGAGTGTAATATGGATTTCAAAGTAATCGCTTTAACTGAAACATGGCTAAATGATATATCTGCGTCAATAATTCATATTCCTAATTACAACTTTGCTTTCAGAAACAGAAATAACAGAATTGGTGGTGGTGTTGGAATGTTTGTTAAAAACAATTTAAATTATTTTACAAGAGATGATCTTAAAATGAATTGTTTAGATGTTGAAAGTTTAGCCATTGAAATTTTCCAGAAACAGAGGCCTAACATCGTTGTTTGCGTTGTGTATAAACCGCCAAAGTATGATGAAATTCATTTTATAGAGCAGCTAGTTAATCTAATCAATTCTGCTAAAAATTTAAAAGATAAAATGATATACATAACTGGTGATTTCAATGTTAATCTTCTTTCTCAGGATTATGCTGCATTATCTTTTTTGAATAGTATGCTTTCCCTAAATTATGTGCCATTGATAACAAATGCTACCAGGATATCAAATCACTCCTCTACACTTATTGATAACATCTTTTCAAATAATAATATGGTCTATTCTTCTGGTGTTATTTACTCGGATATTTCTGATCATCTCCCCATTTTCTGTATCTCCAACGTCACTGATTTGCAACCTCAAAGGATGT